GCTTAGCTTATCCCGTCCGTTGTACATTAAACGCGCATTCGTAAACATAATTTGCGCAAAATTCGCAGCGATAAAGGTCTTACGTATGCGTCAACGCGACGCATGCGCAGAAAGTTTGTAGCTTTGAGGTCCGGATTATAGATCATTCCGCATTATGGGTGTCCGAATTAACGACTTTTGACTGTATATGATTTTTTATTAGACTCCTAATTACAGGGAGAGTTTATTTTGATATTCCTCTCATCGCTATTGGTTTTTTGGAATGATAAACAAGAAGGGGCTTTAATTTGAAGTATGCATGGACGTTAGCACCCAAGAGAAGTGTTAAGCAATCATTTGCAGCTTTAAATCCTAGCGCACGTTTTTCTTCATCGTATAGAAATGTATGTTTTGATATTCTTTTCCAAAATAGGCCCGTTTCATCGGCATTAAAAACTAATTACGGAGGGTAGTTTCCTCCTTCAATTATTGTTCTTAATGCCGCTGGAAATTCAGCCACCACTTTTATATCCCCACTTGCTGCTTCTTTTGTAATCTGCATGTTATGAAGATTATTTTGATGTTTAAATCTATTAAGCCATCCTTAACTTGCAACGAAAGTTTCAGTTGTATTACCTGTTTCAATCTGAATGTGATTAAAAATTCTTCTGCCTTTTTCAATTGTAATAGCTTGGCTTAATGGCATATAGCATTCAATTTCGTCGTCAATCCATATAAAAAGTCATTTTTCCATCTCCTCTTTTATTATTTTTAGAATGGGTTATTCTAGTTGCAGAGTGTTTTGTAGTTGTAGTTGCTGATGACACTATTTTTTCTTTATTCTTGAGAATTGTGCTTATTGACAAGTTCAATGCAACACCAATTTGACAATGACATTTACCACTATCTAATCTTCTCAGCACTTGCATTTTAGTTTCTAGTGAAGCGCTTTTTCTTGTCGCTTTATTTTCATGCTTCTTATTATCATCATGTTAAAAACTAAAAATTAAGTATTTATCACTAATATCACTCATTACATTACATAAATTTATACTTACAATAACAGCAACAACTATTTGAAATAATAAAAATGCATTTGTGTAACGATAAAAATACGTTTGCTGAGAAGAAGTAATGCAGATAAATTACTTTCGATTTCGGGGAAGATCAATTCTGCGTGCAGTTTTCCGGGAATCCCATTATTCCAATAAAAACATATTAAAACCGAAAACAGCTGTAAATGCACCAGCGGTCTTGCTGTACAATGGAAATGGATAGACTTTTCTTATGTATTTGTAGTATGATATAAACCATATTTAAGATTTCCTGGAACTGCTAATGGAGCAAATTTCAACAGTTTTAATGCAAGCATACAATTACTATTCCAAATATCTTTTTAAATAAAAGAAAACTGAAATTATTTTCTTGTAGCAGGAAAAATATTGAGACTTGAATTCTGAATTCAAGTTTGGTAACTTGATTGCATTTTGATTAATTATTTAAATGACTGACTGTGCAGAAAATTTCAAATGATATATGCACCAATTTTTTCAATGTATAGATACTGAGAAGAATCTCTAACATTTATTTCAAAATGAAAGAAACTACAATAATGTTTGTCAAAATGGCAACACCATATAAAAGATTGTAAAGCTGCACTGAAAACTGTATGTCTCTGTCTGCACTGAAAATACGCTTAGTGGTCAATATGCCTTATCAACAGTGGAAGGTGCCATACCAACAACTAACAGAGTTTGAACAAGGCCACACCGTCAGTATGTGAGAGGGCGAACTTTCATATTGAGCAATCACAGCCCACATGCAGCGTAATGCCACAACAGTGATAATTGTTTGGATGAAATGGACAGAGCATAACCAAACAAGGTGAAATTCTGGCACTGGGGCGCATAATAGCTCAATGGCATGGGACAACAGACACCTCATCCGTATGGCTGTGATGGATTCGTACAGCGTCCTCTCGTGTGTTAGCATAATGTTGAAGCACGACTTACAGGTGTGTTGTCTAACTCCATGCTTCATCACCATCTGCTGCAGTGTGAACTGCATTCAAGAGTTCCTCTATGCAGGATTCCCCTGTCGCTGAATTACAAATGCCTTCTACTTTAATGGAGACGACAACACAGTTCACAAGGTGCCCTGTGGCAACAAGCTATTTTCTACAATGAAACTCGCTACAGTCTGCGTACAATGATGGAAGAATACACATCAGATATTACAGAGGAAGGATCTGCTCCCACAGAGTGTTTCCAGCGTCATATCACATAAATGCCTGGCATCATGCTGTGGGGAACTATTGGGTATAATTATCAATTCAATCTAGTGCAGATTGTGGGCAACTTCAACACTGATTGCTACACAAGGGAAGTTATGGAGCCAGAGGTCCTCCCAATCTTCAATGCATTCCAAGAGATGTAAGTCAGCAGGATAATGCTCATGCACATGTTTCTCAGATTGCACAAGCCTTCTTTAGGGAACAATAGTTAACAGGCGAAACCTGTTGTGCCCTAAAGCCTTCATCCATGGCTTGCTTATTCCCGGATATGTCCCCCATTTTCATTGGTCAGTGACTCCCTTGTACAGCTGGTGGGGAACACACTAAGACTGGACTTTGGCATCAAGTAGAAGCCATATGTAATTCCATTCCCCAGGATTACATTCACAGCCTGTATGATTCATTGCCACGAAGTGCACAGGTTCTTATAGCTCAGCACGGCAGGCATGCACAGTACTGGTTTCCGACATGTGTACCTCTATCAGTAATATGTGGAATAAGTTGCATTCATTTCCGATAATTCCTTCATGGCGTTGGATTTTTTATAAACATTAGTGTATATTAGAAGATATAATAATCAACTCTTAATGTTATTTTGTAGTTTTAAATTATATAAAACTATACATTTACAAAAACATAAATATTAATATGATATTAATAAGGGTAATACAGTGATAAGTCTTTAATCCGGACTCATCGGGACTTCGCCGATTCCGGATTATCGATTTTTACGGATTATAGATCATCAGTTTAAATCTGGTAAGATGGCATGCAGAAATTATAAAATTAAAAATATGCAACCGTACTTTGTGAAATAAAGAGCAATTATGATCTAAATGGTATCAAATTTAAAAAAAGCTTAATATTTAGTTTTTTACCTTAATTAAAAACATTTCTTTCAAAAACGCGCGCATACGTAAGCATACTACCGATAGTCGAAATTAAGTAAATTGCCGCAGACACGATTTGAATGTGTATTCGTGATATTTTATAATGACGATTAATTTGATTTAAATCTATCAAAATGAACGGAGTACATTGAGATAAATACTACATTTTAGTAAAGAATTATAAGCCGAATAAAAAAAAACATCTGCCCTGAAGATAAGGATAGTGCTGACCGATCAAAGGCTTTCCATTTTATTGCGTGCCGCGCGTCCCCCCCCCTCCCCCCGCGCTGAGTACTGAAATTGATAAACAGATTTCGAATGTTAGAGAAACAAAGGATATATTGCATTTATCCATTTTTTTGCAAGCACTTCCACTTTTGTTTATGGTTATCTAAACATGCTTGTCCGCTTCCTAGATTTCCTTTGTCCAGCTCCAGAATCGAAATTCTTTTTGACATAATCAAAATTCAAGCTTACTTTTATAATATTTTGCTCTACATTCTGCAAAAATATAAGTCGATCCAATTAGAAATTAAGAACAACGATACTTGCAACATAACTGAAATGATAAATTAGATAATTTTAGCTTAACTTATAACCCGTTCGTTAGACAGTCAACTCATTTGCTTTAACGCATTGCACATAAGTTTGTAGCTTTGAGGTCCGGATTATAGATCATTCCGGATTATGGATGCCCAGATTAAAGACTTTTGACTGTATAATAAATGATGGATTCAAAGAGAAAATAACAACAACAAAAAATAAACATAAAATTTATTTTATATATTACAATATATAAGAAATACAGTATCAGGAGCAGTTATCTTCATCTTTCAATAAGAAACATTCTATCTCCTCTTTCATTTGCTGCCTAAATGGGGGTAATCAAAGTTTAATATTAAAAAAGTTTTAATAGCGTATTTTACAAACAACTTTTTCATTCATTAAAAAGTCTCAGAAACAAAGAAATTATTACCTTTCCATTTTCACACAACCAATTTCAGGCAATATGGACAAAATTGAAGGCTCTGCAGCCTAGAATAAAAATGTACATGATTCTTTTACACAGTATAATACAACTGCTCGGACAAGCAACAAAGCATTTCAAAATTTTTCAGTTATTTAATTCTGTAGATACTAGCATATTTACAAAATTAGATATGGATGGCACAAATAAAAGTAATTTGGATATGTTAACAAGATATTAGTTCACATAAAAAAAGAGATGACCCTGTTTAACTTAGTTCATGTAAATAAGAAAATGACTAAGTTCATTCATTTCTTGACCCTTTAAGGTCCTGATCAGCAACTTATTGAAGGCTGACCACAGTTCAGCTGATGAATGAATATTCTCAGGCGATTTCTGAAAGGTGCAAGTAACACTTCTGACTTTAGTGTTAGATGACCATTCTGACAGGTTTATTGATCTCAGTGATCAACTTGAATAAAATTCATCCTGACTTCTGTTAACAACTATGTCTAACAGAACACTTTGTGAATAAGAAACAGGAACAGCTATTCATATAAATTATAGTTCCATCCTTTTAAAAATAATTATAGTATACAAGTTCCAGGAAATTAACTGATTCTCAAATGGGTTCTGTTGTTAAAGATTTCCTTTGCTTTCAGCTCTGATATACGCTGCCCTACAAAAGTTAAGGAACAGCATATTTTTTGGGTCTAATTTGAGAATGAAGCAACAGAGAAACAAGAAATTTACAGGACATGTTCACTAAACAGTTCTTTAATGAATGTAACATAGAATGTTTCTAAAGTTCAACGCAAACATGAATTACAACAAAAAATTGCACTCCTGGAGACTGGAGAAATCCAGTCTTGGAGAAACAGTATATCACAGTTTTTTGAGGAAAAATGGGGTGGTTACATTACAAAAATGGGTTCTGTTAAGGAATGTGTCCATCCCTAGCTGCAACATATTAGCAGCAGCAACGTTCCATGCTGCCAATTAAGTTGTCGGTCAGTGAAATGGGAAGCAACCAGACATGAAGTAATCCCTATAACTTTGTTACCGCTATGCATATGAACTGTGAATTTAAATGTTACTGACATTTTTGTAATGATCAGCTTTGAAAAACATGCTGTTCTTTAACTTTTGGAGAGAGTGTATTTTTACTCTCACCACACTATACATACCTTCAAAACCTATCTTCAGCTAGTCAAAACCAATTTTAAAATTTTGCATTACTTTTATTTTCACCAAAGATTACTTTTATTTTTGGCCACAATCTGATAATTAAACTCTTATTTTTATCAAGAATCACTCAATTCTCATAAGGCAAAATGTAAATTGTCTCATAAAGGAATCTGTAACTGACTTTCATCTCTTATTTTTTTAGCCAGGTGATAGATAAGATTTTTTCTTGTCTATCACCTATAACATATAACATTTATCACCTATAACATGTTATAACATGTCTATCACCTATAACATGTTATATATGACTTGAAGATTTTTTCATAGTAAAAATCTTGCAAAATTATTCTGAATAAGTTTGGCTGATATATTTTTATACATTTACCATTGATCTATAAGTCAAAATATTCTCTTTAAGAGAAATTTTATAAACTTGTTAATTACTAGCTTCATTATGATCTTTTTTGGGTGTGTGAGTGAAATTCTTTTGTCGCTCATTTCTTTCAAAGAGGCAGGTGTGATACTTTTGCTAGATGTTTAATCATGGAAGGTACTCCACACTTAAAAATTTTTTAGTTTACCACAATATTTTTTAGTTTGCATCTTTTTGTTATTCCAGAACATAAATATTCTCCTTTTTCAGAAAGCTATATAAAACTTACTTCATTTGTCAATTTTTAATGGCATTAATGCTTTATGCGTTAAAAACTATCTATCTATTACATGAAAATTTAATATTCATTATTTAACAGAATAAGATATGCCATGTATTATTAGCTCATATTTAAAAAAATATTTACAAATAAATTTGTTGCTAAAAAATCAACTTTTGATAATGCATTGGATTTTATGGCAAATTTGCAACATTATTAATTTTCAGTTTTTTCTTTCCTTCAGTATTATATCAAGTTTTAAGCTCATACTTTTAAACTGAATCAAAACAGTAACTTTCAATAAGTTATAAATGATTATTGAAGCAAACGTTGTCTGCAATATGAAACATTCCTTGTGGACATGGAAGTAAACAGAATGCCAAAATTCACTTTGTCCACCAAAAGTAAGTACAATGACAATTATTGATAAAATAATTAAAAGTATTATAAGACAATAAAAGATAAATACCAAGAAATTAGATAGAAAGCATATATATTTCTAAAAAATAATTTTGAACAGTATTTTTATTTAAAGAATGAAAAACAAGAAATTATTCCTTTTTATAGCCATCATGTGAATAAAATGAAAATAAAACTTTTCAAAAAAATCAGCTGAAATTCACTATGAATGATGAAATTTTAAGTAAAAAACACATGCCAAAAAGGCCAATAATAAATAAAATAACATGAATTAAATTTCAATTTTTACAATTATCTCAATATTCTATCACTATAATCACTTATTTTATAATTTTTATGAAGTTGAATACATAAATACTAGATTTTTGCAATGTTACCTATTATTATCACTGAAAAATTTAAATCTACTTTATATGTAATATATAAAGTACATTTTTGAAGTTTTACCTATTCACCATCACTGAAAACACAGGTAAAACTTAATAAATTAAATAAATTTCAGGTAAAATCCAAAAATCATATTTTCAACAAATCTCAATTTTAATGAAGGCAGAATCATTGAATTCTGTACTTGCTCTACAACCATTTCATAAATTACATCCTCATAAAAACACATGATTTTACCTGATAAGGTCCTGGGGGGGCAGGAAGTTAGACTTATTCCTGAATATTAATATTTCATATCCAGACATTCTTCTATCACATTTTTATATGTTTCTAGAAATTATACTAATCTGATACACAATTCAAATTTAATACATGTTTGCACTCTTTATTACAGCTATCATGGAAGACTTTCAACAATCTACAATTTATACTTAAATAATCTCCAAAAGTAATAAATGTAATACTTATTTTAAGACTTTTATTTTACACAATTCACTTACTTTAATTTTCTACATATAATAAACTCCTCATCATCTATGGCTATTATTCATATTAAATAAAAATTATTACTCATTTCCAAACAACACGCACTACAAGATATTAAAATAAATCCAATACGATCTTCAACTATTAAATGCTCACAACTTATGAGCATAGCTAAAAGTTACAAAGCTATGCTTTTTAAACTTCTGGCTGTAATTATGATCCTATACTTCAAAAGTTCACAAAAAATGCTTCTAGTACAATTCTGTTTGAAATGCAAAAATTTATCACCTAGCTACAGTGGTCCACTTTATTTGTCAGATTAATCCAAATATATCCTGACAAAAATTTTTGTTTAGTATACAATATTTGTTCGAATATGACTTGAGTTCAATGAGTCACAACTGCAAGCATAACCCTTATTTACCTCTTTTGAAAACAACGAGAGCCCATGAACTTGTTGCCATTATTCAGTAAACAGCCATTTTCATGTGATTTTTTTTCGTGCATATTTTCTTTTAAATATGGTAACAATGAGTTTAAAGAAAGTTAATGAAAAGAGTTAAGCATATAAGAAAATGGTTAGGATCACCACAGAGCTGAAAAAAAGAGATTGTGGAAAAGTATGAATATGCCATGCATATTTGTGACTTGGCCACTGCATACTGTATGTCGAGAATGGCAGTATCTACGATTGTAAAAACAATGATGCTTTTAAAATGGCTCATGCTGCAAGCAGGAGAGGGTCGATTATCAAAAAAAGATCGGAGGCATGAATATGGCATGCATGTTTGGGACTTGAACACTGCATACTGTATGTCGAGAATGGCAGTATCTATCTACGATTGTAAAAAACAAAGATGCTATTAAAATGGCACATGCTGCAAGCAGGAGGGGGCCGATTATCAAAAAAAAAGATGGGAGGCATTAAAGCATAGAAAAATTGCTTTTGATCTAGATAACAGAAAAACATTTATGTACAATACTTCATTTACTAATAATATATATTTTACCCACTGCATTTGTGTTCTAATATTAAACAGTATTATAATAATAATGATAAGACTTTTTTTTTACAAGAATCTTTTATTCCTTACTGGAAAAGTTCTTTTGTGATATGTCCAAGGATTTGGAATGGATTAATGATGTATACCAAGGTCCCACTGTACTTTCAAAGTAATAGTCACTGGAACACACATACTTATTCCGGTATCCCAGGCATTCCTGAAAGCACTGAAATAATCAGATACGGTTTCCATCATATACTAAACATAGCATTGTTTTGAATTTTGGATTACTTGAATTGAAAATGCTGATTCCATAGAATCGTCTGGATGTGAAAGAGCAGCAACAGAAAGTGAAAAATCTGACAAATAAAATGGTTGTGGCACAATTAGACTTTGTAACTGATAAAAGAAAACCAAGTTTCTTTGTATAAATAAAGCATACTCTTAGTTAAAATGTGATACTATTGAATAATGTGATATGACAGTGAATGGTCAAAAGCTACTTTGACTGCATTTGCAATACATAAACTATGCAATCTTGGATAATGTAAACTTATTATATTTCTTCTGCTACATATGCAATACCCTCTAATAGCCAAATTCATTATTGAAAATTTCACATGTGGCATGATTCTTCAGGTACCTTTTGAGCACAGCAATGTACCATTGCCATTAGCGAGGAAAAAAGGGAAAGAATATTAGGGCTCTTTATTTTTATCACATGTAACAAAACCTGCAGAAATAGTACAGACTCTTAGTTTTTTCCTAATAAAAATTGGCCTAGCTGGCTGTCTGACATTACAAGTAACAATCAGTATTTATTAATTAATATACTTACTATATGTCTAAGAGAAACAGAACACCCGTGACAAAGCAAATTAGTTAATTCCCTATAAAATAAAGAAAAGTAATTAAAAGCAAAATCCATAATTCCAACCTTAAAAAATATAAAGTGAATGATATATAATAAATTTTAAAAATAAAAATAAAGACAAAAATAATAAAATGCATTAAAAAATTAATCTCGTAAAGCATTTAAAATAATGTTACACCCTGCCAGGTAGATATAAGCTCTAGGAACAATTATACGAGGGCTATCCAGAAAAGAGAAGGGGGGGAAAAAAAAAAAACAAGTATAGGAAACAAAATTATATACGAGAAGCCACAAACGCAAGCTACTTTTCTACAGTCACCAGAAAATTAAGCATTATCGTACGATGTAACGAGCTTGAAATTCCTCGTTGAAAAATCGGCGCCTGCTCTTCAACCACTTCGTTACCCTTCTTTCAGCGTCGTCGTCTCAAAACGCTGCATAGCCAGCACTTCTTCATTCTGGGAATAGGGGAAGTCGCTCGGCCAGTCGGGGCTGACGGCGGATGAGAAACACTCCCACTTAAAGATCAGACTTACAGTGACATTGCAGTGGGGCCGGGTTTTTGTCGTTAATCAAAAGATCTTAGCGTCAACATCCTCTGCGCTTGTTTTGAATTGCTTTCTGAGTTGGGAGTTTGGCAATACTTTGAGAGTTATTGTAGTGCTCTTCCTGAAGTCCACCAAATTACCCTTTTCTGCCCAAAAAAAGTCGCCATCTCTTCTTGCCGACATTGTTTTCAGCATTTCTGGGTTTTTGGGAGACCTTGTGTGCCCCCATCATGATTGCATTTCGTTCACAGTTCACATGTTTCACCGGTTTCCTCACCAGTACGATGCGATCGAGTAAAGAGTCACCATCCTTATGGTAAGCGTCCAAAAAGTTCAACGCTGCAGCCATTCGCTGATTTTTTGGTCCTCTGTCAAGATTTTTGGAATCCATTTGCACAAAACTTGTGGTAACCAAGCTTTTCGCTGATGATTTCGTGCACAAACTTCGCGAAATTTGTGGAAAACTCAAAGAAATTCCGTTATTGGAAATTTCGATTTTTCCGGACTTTAGCATCGACTTTTTCGAGAGTTGGCGTCACTATGCTGGGCTCCCACTCGATCTTCGTCGTGGAACTTGGTTCGGCCATTTTGAAATCTTATGACCCACTGACGCAATCCACCTCAGTGATAATGTTGTCCCCATACATTCACGAAGCCGCCGATAGATTTCTATCGGTTTACAGTTTTTTTGCAGTCAGAAACCTTATTACTGAGCGCACATCGCGGTTTTCAATTAACGCAGACTTTCAAACCGTCACAGTATCTGAACGAGCACAGCACGAACCTCTCACTAGCACGGCTGATGCAGACGAGCTGCGCAACGCTCTGACCCCAAGAATGGCCGCTAGCCCGCCCCTATCGGACACAGACGGAAACGTAATCTACTTCCTGATGGCCCTCGTATATAAATAAATTGCATATTACTGAATACATATATAAATTAAATATTTTTATTAATCTTTACAAGACAATATTTTTAATATGACATTTACACGGGTAATTGAACAAATATGAAATTTCCAGCCATATTAAAAAAGAAAAAAAAGAAAAGAAAAAAAAAAAAAAAAAAGAAAAAAAGAAAAAAAAAGTTTTTAAAATAAAAAATTAATGACACATTTCCATAATCCTTTCACAATCTTTCCTTCCTTCATTTTACATTAATCCAAAATTATTTAGTTATTCTTTCATTTTACATAAATTCAGAATTATTTAATTAATAACCTAGAAGCACTCAAAACCAACTTTATATCTTTTCACATTTCAAAATTATGGAAGAAGAAAATAAAGAAGAGGCCTAACTGTTTTCTTTCCTTCACTGATTTGACACAGTGACCCTTTCCCCTCTTGTTTATCAAAACATTCAGTGATTTACCACTTAACTGTTTTGTGTTGGGATGCCATGAAAAGGGATTTTTTTTTTATTTGCTGGAGCAGAGTATTTTTCTACACCAATTCACTGACGTTTCCCAGCTGTTTCACATTTTTTACTTTGAGGTGTTTCTAATAGATGTCTCTAGTGGTCCAGGAGAGATTTTACTGTAAAACCAATTCAAGGACAGGTTTTACTGCTTTGCATTATGTGGAGAAATTCAAGGAGTTTGCATATGTTCAGCTTTGCGAATAGCACTTCTGCCCAATTTTGTCATGAAATAAAAGAATGTTTGGGGACAGTAAATGGCTCAAAACATAATATAATTTTGGCATTAGATCAGATGGCAAATCAGAATTTTCCCTAAATGATTCTGGTAGTCCTGAAAGTTCTTTATCGAAATTCTCTAGTAGAGGAAACGGAAAGTTCAGATGATCTAATTCAGGTTTGGAACTTTTGTGAAATAGATACTAGTAAACCTCCTCCACCACCGCCATGATTTCCTTTTACAGCAAATTTACTTCTTTCACATTTATCTCCTGTAAAGTGTTCTTTCCAGTTTTGCCAGAAAAAAGCCAACTTTAAGGGAAAAAAAAATGCCTTAATTTCGATGTAATTAAAAATTATCTTAAATTAATAAATGCTGCAACACTTGTAACAGTTTTGATTGCCGATTTGAATTCCTGTAATCGATTAGAATACAAAATTGTTTATAAAAAATATGCTTATTTTTGGTCACAGTATGGCAGGAAAATGAAACAGTTAAGTGGTTAAGAACCTATAGATTTTGTCATGTTTGGAGTTAAACATTTTATAACTGCATCATAAATATAAGTAAAAATGCACGTTTTCTTTTTCTACAATATATCAGTCCTAACTATATGAAAGAATATATTATTTAACATTTTTTACTAAATAGAATTAGATGCTATTATTTCTCCTGTGCTATGAATACTTTTAATTTGAATAAAATGTTTTTACAAGTTTTTGTTAATATATTAGAAAGAAATTTTAAGGTAAATTTCATTTGATTTAAGATTACAAAAATTAAAATCAAGGTTTATTGTATTATTAGTATTAAAATCATGCATTATATCTTTTCTATTTACACAAGCTCTTTATGAAATATTTCCTCAAATATGAGATGACATTTAGCTCTTCTAAGGTATCTTTTAAATCAGAAATCACAGTCACTCAATATTTTCTTTGTTCTGTTTCAAATTACAGCATCTTCTATTTCAATAATTAGATATGTTAAATACTGCTGCTGATATTTTGATTTCTATGTAGTTTATTTTCTATGAGAAATAAGTGAGGGGATTGGAAAAAAAAGTTTATAAATATTCTTTGAGACTTGCAACTGAATTATTATGAAATATGAAGAAATAATTATTTTAATATTTATCAAAATATTGCTCTGATCCTAATATTCAACAACACACATTCTAAAACTCTACTTTACTTCTTCCTTAAATGTACACCTCATATATTGTACTTTTCCATTTAATAGATTGTTTTCTGGTATGCATAATTCTTGCTTAAATAGTTTATAGCTATATCTGTCACCAGAACTTTTGGTTTATGTTTGCAATTAAATGTTAAGGTCATTAGATGATATATTTAATAATTAAATTTCTTCATAGTAACATTCATAGGAGATTTATACAAGACTAAAGCCTTCACTTCCAAGTTAATTTGAAATAATATTTACATATTTGATTAGAGAAAAATAAATGTTTCTTAAAAAGATAGGAATAAATACTCAAGTATATTTAATATTTTTTTCATTTTTTGTATGTGTCAGTTACCCTTAGAAAGTCCTCCACGAAGGCATCCCTTCCCTTAGGCAGATAGCACTCGAGGCTTTGCCGTAATTAAATAACCTAACCATTTTTGGTATGTGAGAATCTTTATTTTTAATACACACTCAAAAAGTAGGTTATGTGCTGAATAACACTGAATGACTAGTGGCTGTCTAAGGATGATGAATACTGAAAATTCAACCTGGGTTCAATCTCAGTTGAGCTGACAGGCTGCATGGTTGGTTTTTGTGGCTTTCCTCATATGTAGTTTCCCACAGAGAGTCCTCCACAAAGGCATCCCACCTTTTAAACAAACAGCCCTCATGTGCTTTCCATATTCAGATATCTTAACCCAACTATGTGCCAAGTAACAAATATTTTAATATGCATAATTTTGTACTTACATTTAGACATCAAGCTGCAAACTTTTGACTTGAAACACATTTCTGTACATATTCATTATCAAATTCCTATTTTCTATTAATTATAGTTTGGCAGATTATTTAATTTAATAGTTCTCTGAGAACATAATAAATAACAACTAGCCATCTCACATTCAAACAGTAATCTTATTATTATTAAATCACAATCATGATTGAACTCTGTATACCAAATTTGTTACGGTTTTTGAAACGGTTACAACAACTATAAACACCTGAAATTTTAGCACTACAATAAAATAATAATAAAAAAAAAAAAAAAAAAAAAGACATAAAATGTAAGTTAGGTTACTGAATACTAGTCAATGACATTACTGATGCTGCTTACATAGTTTGAAACTCTTAAAATTAACAGATCACCACTTACTCTCTCTTTTTATCAGAGATTAGATTAAATAATTACTTTTATATACAATTCATGCACAGGTACTGAACTGTCTATAATATTTTTAAAAATAATTGTACCTTATGCATAAATATTGTTTGATGACTGTGCTTATTAAATGTAAAATCTGGTTATGTACTAGGCCAACTTCAAGCATATCTTCATTTAAACATACAAACAACTTTTGTCATTCCAATTTATTTAGTGGAAACATTACTCAATGAACTTATCAATTTACTTCAATGGATCACCTGATTTTCAAGTCCCAACCTGTCAAAGTAATGTGCACTTGATGTAAACAAAAGAGCCACATTCCTTTAAATCAATGATGTTTAACTGGTTTTGCCTTAAAGATTACTTTTAAATTTCTGTAATGTCTCAGAGGCAAACAGTGTATTATGTCTGGAAAATAATTTCATGAAAATATGTGATTTTACTGGATGAATTTTTGTTTCCATATGATAAGGAAAATTAATATAAACATACAAAAAACTGAAGAAAGTTCACTAACAAAATGCAAATGTAGGTTCAAAATAATTTTATTTCATATTAGAAAATAAAGAAAAGCAGATACTAATAAATTAATTACTAATACAAGAAAATGTAACCATTAAATATTGTCAAATATCGCATTAAGTCATTAACTTGCTATGAATGAGATATTTGATTATTAATATTCTCTGATAATTTATTGAAACTTGGCATATATTCTGATACATAGCATGCCAACACTATGTTATTTTTCATATACTCTAGACCCAATATATTTCTGTGCTTGCTTTTTATTATAAGTTGTGAAGAAGTCTTCTTATAGAGGCATGTTGACCCAAAAAATTTTCTCAAAAAATTTAAATTTTAGGAATGTTAGTGCACACCTAAAAATGTTTTTATGTTTAATAGGGTCCATCAGTTTGAAAACTTCATCGCTTTTATTTTCTATACTTTTGAATGCTACATATCAGTACAAAGAGTAATAATCTCTAATATGGCTTCCAATTTTTTAACAAAACAAAAACTTTTTCCATTCACAAAGCTTTTTCTGTTATGTCTAGTACTAAGAATGAAATTTTTGGGGCCAATAAAATAGGCTCCATATAAAACTTGTCTTGGAATCTTTTTAAAAAAAATCCCAACTAAGTAACAGAAGGTTTTTCAACCAGCTTAAATATACCATATACTCGAATAACTTCTGTCTATATTGAGGATAAGTAACAGAAAATGTTGATAGTCTTTCTCCAATAAGTTCTTCTTCAACAAATTGATTCAGTCAGAAAAGCAGATAGTGAGCTCATCATTTCCAATATGTATTTTCCTTTTGCTTGTCAGGTGGCATTTAAATTACTGAGTTTTGAAGTGATATCAATTAAATAGGTTAAGTCAGCTATCCACTTCATGTCATCAAATTTTTTTTAATATAAGAAAAATTTTAATCTCCCACAGCATTCTTCCTTGACTCAGCCACTTCACTTCCACACGGTAAAATTATGTCACTATACTTGCTATCTAGCTCATCAAGCAAAGCTTTAAAAAGTCGATGATTCAAAGGCCATGCTCAGATACAATTTACAATGAGTACAATAACAGTTATTATGATTCAAATTAAGCCTTTTAGTGACCAGATTTTCTTGATGAATAACACAGTGGTACAGTTAAAAGTCTTTAATCCGGACGTCCATAATCTGGAATTATCTATAATCCAGACCTCAAAGCTACCCACTCCTGCTCATATGTCGTCCACGCATGTTTTGCATAATACTTTTATCATGCGCATATCTCACTACGCATGCGCAAAAGTTTTACGCATGCCGTTTAATGTATAACTGACGTTAATAATCTAATCAAAATGTCTAATTTTCTATTTCATTAATGTTTGCAGATTGCGTTGTTCCTTTCTTCTAATTGATCCAGCTTTTATTTTTTTGGACTGTCAGAGGCAAATTTATAAAAGTAAGCTGACTTCGATTTGTCAAAAGAATTCCCAATTTTGGGGCTACAAAGCATCTACAAAGCGAAGCATGTTGTCGATGTCCCATCTAACCAAAATTGGAATTGTCTGCAAAAAATGGATAAGGCAATCCTTTTGATTCCTAACATTCCGAAATATGTTTTATCAGTTTCATGCTGCCTGCGGGTGGGGGGGATGACCGCGTCACGAATGAAACTGGAAGTTGATCTGTCACACTATCCTTATCTTCCAGTTCAGGCTGTTTTTTATTTTATTCCGGGCGTTACTTTTCCTGTCTAATGTATTAATTTATTTCTGCGATGTACTCAGTCTTTGATTTACTTAAATCCAATTCCTCTTCATTATAAATACTGTCGATACACATAAAATAGTTTTTCAGGTTGGCAATGTTCCCAATTTTTCGACTATGCCTAATTATGCTTTACGCATGCGCGCTTTGAAAGAAATGTCCTTAATAAAGTAAGAATAATATAAAGCTATGTTTTTTTTGTAAATTTTGAACTTAAATCATAATTGCTCTTTATTCATTTTATTGTTCAATTTAATTTATAATTTCTGCATGCCAGCTTACCAGATTTAAACTGATGATCTATAATATGGAAAAACCGATAATGTGGAATTGCCAAAGTCCCGACCAGTCCAGATTAAAAACTTTTGACTGTATTAATTAAATTTACAAAATGTCATTTTTCTTACAAAGCCCAATAAACCCAATACCACTCATGAACATAACCAGCACACATCATTTGTGATTGCAACATGTTCTCTTCAGTAATACAGTTTTTAACTGTGTCATATATGTCTTGTCATCGAGCATATTTTTCAAAAGTCAACATGGTCAACAATGCTTCTTTCGTACAGAACTCAGGGAACATCATTCTCATGAACACCAGAAGTTGCAGTAATCCAGTAACATCAGTGGATTCATCAAACTGCATAGACAAGCACACATATTTTCCCAAATCAGATCTCATTTGTATGTAGATATTGTTCCCCCACTCATAATGTCATCATGTTTTGTGACAAAGGGACAGCTTTTATAATTAATATTATTTCATTTTTGTTTTTTAATTCATGAAATAAAGACTCTAACATTGCCAGCATAGCTTCCTTCACAATACTTTTATCTGAATATGCCTTTCCATGTGATGCAAGAATGTAACTTACTTTGAAAGATGCTTCTGTGTGATTCTTTGTTTCATTTTTGAAGGGAAAAAGGCTGCTTTGATGAGCTTTCAGAGAAGAATTTAATGACTGACATTTATGCCTATGTAAAGCAGACCTGAGTAGATATTTAACGTTTATAATTTACAGTTTCATGATGGTGTTCAACATTTGATCACTTTAGTTCCACTACAGAAGCACTGGATAATAAACAAACTGCTTTTTGGCAATGTTTGTAAATAACAACTCTTGGTTCCATTTGTTATTAAAATGGTAGGTTTTCTATTCATTGATGGCCCTGGCAGAGCATTCATATTAACAAGCACACCAGAAAATATATGATATAATTAAAGAGTTTTTTTAAAAACTCTCAGAAACACCACAGTTTGGTAGCCCTTACTGCAAACTTTTTTTCAATTAAACTGATGACTCACGATCATCAACTGCATTGACCGTATGGAAGATTCATCATTCCTACTCACTGCAGTGGTGAGAACAGTGAGAGTGCTTTTGTTGAAGCAGGTACTCTTAATTCTAATCTGCCACGCAAATAAAACCATGGTAACAGGACAGAGTGAAGGTGACAACATGCAAATACGTGAACACAAATGCAATGCCCCTATACTTATTGTGTAACTGTGCTTTTTTATGGTTGTTTTTTACATTAGGATTAGAGTAAACTTTTTATCTACCAGGTGCCTTCCAGCCACCATTTGGGCACCACTGCTTTAAATTATCAATGCTTGGAATGACAGTGTCAAACAAAATGGAAGGAAAGCATTTCTTATTCCTATCCCTAGGGTCAAAACCCTCTATTCATATGCATCATTATTCTTTAGAGAAAAAGTTAATCAAAAGTTACATTTTGCCTCAATTTAATCGCATGCCTTTTATTTGGTAATATTTTTTAAAAACGAAATTTTTAAATATTTGTAATTTAAATTTAAAAAAATTAATTCTTTTCAGCACACAGAATCTTTATTACCTCCATAAATAATAAATATAATGTCAAACTGAGGTCCCTGACAGACCATTAAAAAGCTTTCACCTCCAGATCAAAAATAAACTTCTACAGCAACACTTCAAGAACAGCAATAAAAGAAAACTATTTTCTGATATTTCTGCCATAACTTGCAGTACTAGTAAGAAAACTTCCTGAGCCACAGTCCCTTAGTTCCATAAATTCATTGCAGCAATCCCAATTGCTGAACATAGCAGCTAAAAATTTTTTAATGACCTCGTCTTTTAAACCACTTCGTTTACAATCAGAATCCACCATATTCTATGCATAATTTGGCCTTTTGATATTTTAAAAGTATTTTATAAATTAAAAAAAAGCATTTTTAGAGGCAATGACTAATGTTTAAAGATGTGAATCATTAATATTTTTTCACCTCAGCATTGAAAGAGCTTAATGCATGGATTTTCAAAATGTAATAGAAACATAAGTTGGGATGAAAAGTCTCCCAACAGTCTAGAAACATTACTCTTTTTAATTAAGTAGAGAGTAATTTTATAACTATCTCCTGATAAATCCTCACTCAATTTATTATGTTTTAAAAGTAACTAAATATTTTTTCTCTGAGTTGAATTTCTATGGATGCCACACCATTCATAAAAACATCTAGAAAGCTGAATTCATAACTAGATAGATGATTTTTACTTAATTGGCTAAATATTCTCCTTCTTTAACAAAGAATTGAGCTTTATTTTATTAGCAGGCCATAAAATTTATTTTAAATAATTATTTTATTAGCTTACACCAAGTTTCACTTGAAATGAAAATATTATTTATTTCATTAATAATCTGATACACTAAAACAAAAAACCTTTTCTTCAAATTCCAGATTAATGAACAACATTTATAAATATATGGACTTTTTACACAGTATTTATATCACAAATATATCATCTCTACCTGATTAATTACTTACCCATTTTTTAATTCTGAGTCTGAAACTTTCTGATTTGTAGATAATCTTTCAGAAACTTTCAATGCTTCAATAGCAGAGCAAATATCAGGATTAAAGTTGTCCAGTTTTGACTGAAATGATAATTTAATTTTAAACAGAGGAAATTATGAAACAAATAATTAATATTACAAAGAATGCAGTTTAGCACTACGTCTAAACTGAAAATAACATACACAATTATAAAAAATAATGGGAAATTCAACAGTAATAAATTTGCTGCCTACATTTATTAATATGTAAATGCACAAGTTAGCTACTATTAAAAAAGCATAAAGAAAAATTCACTTACTCTGCATACCAAACAAGCTTCATTACATATTTTAACTGAATTTTTTGATAATTTACTTCCAGTTCTAAAAAGAATTTTAATTATTAGATGACTTGAAATAAGTAACAGGCAGTATAAAACATGTAATTTAATATATCTCAACCTGGAATTTTCAGGACAATCAGTAACTACATTTGTAACAGCATATGTCAGACAAATTTTTTATGGTTTAAAATAATAGTCCCAGCTGTTGGTATACAAATAAAGTGCAATAAAAAAAGCCTCTGAGATTACTTGCATAAAAAAAAGGAAAACTTAAACTTGATTTAAATTTGATTCCTATCAGTCTTCAAAGTAACCATTTTGTGCCACACCATATGATTATGCTTATAGTCAAACACTTTCCAAAAGTCCCATTATTCTGGACTAACAAACACCATATACACTGCATGAACTTCTTTTTTTAGAAAAAATAACACTTAAAGTAAATTCTACATTTGTTTATTGTTCTGATGTTTTAAAAAGTTTTACAGCTGCATTATTATATGTTAGTCTCCGTCATTCAAAAACAAAAGCTTTAAACTTGCTCTAATCAATATCTCTTTGTGTTAGAAAAAATGTCAATGTCCTACCATATCTAAACACATTCAACATGATTTCAACATTATTACAACACTATATATGAAGAAATATCATTACAATCTTATTTACCTGAAAATAGTGAAGACAGTGGCAGGATAGTTCTCTTGTAGATTTGAAATAAATGTTTCTGTATGTTGCTGCAGGCTGGATCTCGGATTTGACTTTAAAAAGAAATAATTGACATAATAAGCATTTATTACAAATGTTAAATTTATAAACATTCTCTCATTTTATGTTATTCAACACATATACATGCAAGCAATTAAAAAAAGATGAAACATTTTAAAATGAAATGCAGTTATTGACATCTTAATTATTAATTCTTTAATTTCAAATAAAGAATAGTTAAATAAATAAGTAGATAAGAAACATAATGAACTGATGGATGTGGTATGTGCTCTTTTATTAGTATTATGTAACATTTTTCTTGTGACACAAAATTTTATTTTTGAATAATTCTTTTATTTATGTTAACTTAATCATTTTTTGAAATACTTAATTAATTTTTTTAATTATTTTTTACTTTTAATTAAGATTCCTACCAGTTTCCAAATCTAGATTTTTATAACTGGATTTTATTAAATTTGTGAACAGCTTTGCTATTTTGTATCATTGTATTATAATTTTTTAGGTGAATTAAATCATAGTTTTTTTTTTTTACATTGTGACAAAGACTATTCATTCTTAATAACTTTTTTTTTAATTACAACCCTGAATATATTTCTTACTTAAAATGAGTTAAGTAAAATAAATGGAACAAAGAAACTTTTCCTATACAACACCACCAACAAATCAACAAAGCTAAATAAATAAACATAAAAATATTTAAAAATAAAATAAAAATGAGGGTGCATTAGTAAAATATGTCTGTTGGAAGACAAATTTTGGCTGCTGATGAAATTTTAAAATTCAAATCATTGTTAATATCAAGAGATCTATCAATTTCAGCTGGCACTATGAGGAGAATGAAAAACAAAATTTCCATTTGATGACTTAAAGCTTTTCTGTTAGCCTTTGGCTCATTACGATTAATTGATGACACATATACCTTAGTAGTGTATCAAGGTGTGGTCTATGTTTAACATCTATATTGATTTTGGTGAAATGAATCAAGATAGGTTAATAATCAGAGAACTTAAAAACTTATGCATGAGTAGTTTTTCTGCATTCTGCTAAATAATGAAAAAATATTGAGGTCATAAATACTGTACTCTCCTTCTAAAAAAGCTTTTTGGGCTTCACACTACTTGCAGATAAAATTAGTCAGATTTTGACTCTATGAATGGATTCAATATGCGACCAAAATTTAATCCTGAAATATTTGACCCTGAACTTAGTATCCCAAGCATTAAAATTTTTCAGGCTATAAAAAGAGCTGTAAATTAGAATTCAAGATGGAGTAACAACTCATAAAAAGAATAAAAGATAAAAATAAAGTGAAAAAGAGATATTTTTATGATTTATTGGATCCCATTAGATTCCAGTCTAAACAAAAGCATGCCTTATAGAGTCAGTGAGAAGGAATTCATCAGACTTATGATGAATCTGATTCAACAGGAAGTAGAGGTAATATTTCAGATATGACCCATATATTGATAAAATATCATCCAGAATCATACAAACACACTTCAAGAATCAAGCTAGAAAAAATATTTGGTAAATTTTATATGCTGCCTATTATTCAAGATGACTCTACAGAAAGTTTAAGAGAAAACACAAGAAGAAAAGTTGCCAAGCAAATAACAGAAATAATATATTTTTTATGACATTCAACAACCTCCCTGATAATTCTCATAAAAATCAAATGAGTTAAATTTACGCCATTAAATTCAATGGAAATAAAACAAAAGCCATGGAATCATTTGCTCATTTCACTGAAGCAAAAGATGAAACAGCTGAGAATATTTCAGCTATGATTTTGGTAAAATTAGAAAGAAAGAAAAAAAAAGGGGGGGCTGATTGTGCACAACAAATGATATAATAGTGTGATGGGTAACTGATACAAAAAGCAATTGCTAAGCTATTGTGACATTAGTTGACACCATATAATAATGTTATTTTAGTGGTTAATTGAGATATTCAGAGATTCATGAAAGAAATTAACAGGAGAGCCAAATTTATCACATGTGAAAATTATATCTGAATCTGGCAGATATAAATGCAGCTTTAGTTGCTGTAAATTTCACTCTTTTTGGGGAATTTTGGAGCACTGATATCCAGGCTTTAATGCCAGGTACATTGGCAAGTATAAGAAAAAGGAAATGTTAGTAATGAAATACATATAGAGAGTTGTTGAGTGTAGAGAAAAATTATTGAAAATTTTAGGCACAGTAAAATATTTATCTGGTCAAGAAGAAAATCAGACAGTGGGGTGCTGCTGGCTGCATTAATTATTTTTCTTCCTATTATTTTCATAGGACTGTGGAAATCCTCCCTTTTAGAAATTAATGATACTGTTCCTAAAGTCTATCTTAAAAGCAAAAAGTTAAATATGTAAAAGTCTCATAAGAGCTTAAAATTTTAAAATAAATTAACTGAAAATAGGTGGATATATGTAAAAAGTTCAATATCTTACACCAAGGAAATTTGTGGTGATCCTAGAATAGTCATGAATTATTAAAGCAGAAAGGAGAAGCTGATGTTAGGTGAAGAAATATGACCTGAAATTTCAGGTGACAAGGCATGTATATTCTTTGGATGGAGGCAAGAGTCCCATGATGGCAAGGTCAATGTTCTGAAACCTTTGAGAAACAAATTTAGAAGCCTATGAGTGTGTCGACAAATTTTAGACTTCTGACAGTCTATGCATAACTGTATGCAATTTCGTATGTCTTTTAACATCCCTGTCCACATAAATATACAGGAGGCTCTTATATCAGATAAGATAAACAATGGCAGTCTCTGAACATTGAATAGCATAACTTGTCTGGAACATATATGGTCAAATTCTTCCAGTGCTAATGTCATTGCAAAGTTTCAAAAAGTTCCAATTTACAAAAGTTGGAATTGAAGTTAAATTTTAGGCTTTGCAAACAGGTCAGATAATTGCTGCATTCAGCTTGCTCCTCAGCCATAGTAAAAAAGTTGGTTGAAGCTAGGTGGATCTCATTTATTCAGGATAAAGTGTCTGCCACAAAAACATTGGATCCAGTAACATGTCTAAATATCCTTAATGACTAGTGGCAAGTATGTCGAGGTGTACAAGTTGCCAAGAGGATCCTGAATCAGACATTTTTGAAAAAGCGAAGGTCAAGGATTTATGGTCTGTGTATATTGTAAAATGCCTGTCTTGTGAATTATGCCAAAGGTGTTTTACAGCTGAATAGATTGCTAAGAGTTCTCTGTTACATCTGAATAGATTGCTAAGAGTTCTCTGTCATGGATCCAATGTTTGCACAGTAATGCTCAGTTTACATGAAAAGAATGCTAGAGGTTGCAAGTCTTTACCAACAGTAGTGATAGCAATGTCAGAAGAATCGGCTGTCAGGGACAGCTGTTAATCAGCAGAAGCTTGAGTTGCTGAATTCATAACATCATGTTTACAAGCTTCAAATGCTTGCGTTAAAGTATTATTACAAGAAACTGGCTGTTTGTCATTTTTTCTGGAACCTTTTAGCAGTTCATGTAAGAGAGCTTGGGTTTTGGAAGCATTTGGAATAAAATGCTAGTAGAAATTAAGCATTGCCAAAAAATATCATAACTCTGCATAACATCTTTTTGGAAATTCGGCTATTGCACAAGCATTTCGGGGTGTGGTTTTACCTCAGAAGATGTTATAAGGCATCTTAGAAATGGCAATAGAATATTTTCCTAGAACACCTGTCTGACGTCATATACAGTCAAAAGTCATTAATTTGGACACCCATAATCTGGAATGATCTATAATCCGGACCTCAAAGCTACAAACTTTCTGCGCATGCGTCCCTTTGACGCATGCATGTAAAATATGCGTGTGCGCATGCACATAATACATTTAACCCTTTTTTTTATAACGACTGATAGCTGCTAAAATTATCTATTCATTAATGTTGCAGATTGCGTTGTTCCTTAATCTCGAATTGGTACGGCTTTATTTTTGCAGATTGTTATAGCAATTTTAAAAAAGTAGTTTACTTTCAATAGTCAATAAATTTCCGTATAATTTTATATGTAAGGATCTACAAAGCGAAAGTATGTTTCGAAGTCCTTAAACAAAAAGTGAAATTGCTGCAAAAAATGGATAAGCATATCCTTTGTTTTCTAACCATTCCGAAATCTGTTTATCAATTCACTGCTCTCGGGGGGGGGCTGCGCACGCTATAAGGAATTGATCTGTCAGCACTATCCTTATTCAAGAGTTTTTTTTTATTTGCTTATAATCCTTACTAAATGAGTATTCATCTCGATGTACTCCTCTTTGATATGATTAAATCAAATTCCTCATCATTATAATTCGCTTCTGAAGTGAAGAAAGTGACACAGAGGTTATTGAAAACGAAAAATTTCGATTGACAACTTATTGGTATTCTCGACACAGCAATTATAGGACTTGAACAGCAAACTTTGTAACTGAAGGAATTATGTCTTTATAGAATTAAAAGAAAGTATTATCACCAAAAATGAGCAACTTAAACAACTTACATGAAAGAAATTTTAATAAAGTAAACAAATAAAATTAAGCTTTTTTTTTTTTTTTTTTAATTTTGATACCCTTTAGATCATACTTGTTCTTTATTTCATAATTACTTTCTATTTTGACTTTTATAATTGCTGAGCCATCTTACCAGATTTAAACTGATGATCTATAATCCGGAATTGCTGGAGTCCCGACGAGTCCGGATTAACGACTTTTGACTGTATTTGCCTAAGATGGCCCTCACAATGTTCCTCATTTGACAAAGCAATTAAAATATCATCCAAATACAAAAATCTAGGCCATTTAACACCTGATGTACATACATCTGACAAATCTGCCCTGCATTAAGTAGGTCAAATGACATAAAAAGAAATTCAAATGAACTGAATGAAGTCTCATAACAGCTTAACATTTTAAAATAAATTAACAGCAGTTTTTTTTTCCACCATTGTTGTTCAGATTAACATGGATTTGGTGAAATGTGTGGGCTAAATCTAATGTTGTAAATATTTCTTTTCTCATAAAATACAGTAAAAATTCCATAATCCGGACTCGGACTTCGGCGATTCTGGATTAGAGATTTTACCAGATTACAGATCATCAATTTAAATATGGTAAGATGGCATGAAGAATTTATGAAATTGTAATTTATGAAATAAAGAACAATTATGATCCAAAGGGTATCAAAATTTACACACACACACACAAACACACACCACCAAAAAAAAAAAAAAAAAAAAAACTTAATTTATGTTTACTTTTAAACATTCTTTCAAGTAATTGTTTAAGATGTTTCCTCAAAATTCAAATTCTTTTCCTAGTCAATATGGATTCAATGCCATCTTCTCGCATAATTTGAGACAGATAGGCCTTTATCCATTTTGCAGTAATTCCACTTTTTGTTTAATGGACATAAACAGCTTTCCTTTTGATCCTTTGAAGCTCCAAACTAGAAACCTCTTTTTGACATAATCAAGTTCAAGCTTTAATTTTATGAAATTGTTCTAACATCTGCAAAAAATAATAAGCTGATCCAATTAAAATCTGAATAGCACCAATCTACAAATAACTGAAAGCCTAGATAATTTAGCCTACTATACCAACGTTATACATTAAACATGCATGCGTAAATGCATATGCGCATGCGTAAACACGTTATGCATTTATGCATGTGCATAAAGTTTGAAGTTTTGAGGTTCGGATTATAGATCATTCCGGATTATGGACGTCCAGATTACAGACTTTGTACCATACTTGGATATAGTCTTGGATATGGGGTAGGGAATAATGGTCTGGAACAGGCATTTAAGCATGATAATTACCACATGGATGCCACTAACCATTTTTTTTTAATCATATGAAGGCGTTTTGCCTAAGAATTTTTAGAGTAATACATTATACTCTGAGCCAAAAGAAACTCAAATTCCCTGCAAGCAGCTATAAGGAGCTCAGACGATAGCTGATGCAATTTAGAAAATACTACAGGCTCCTTGGTCTCAACATGGTCAAAGACAGTATGATGCAGGCTCTTTGGGTATACGAGAAGGATAATCAAGTTCTGAATATTTAGTCAAAATTCATCAAAATTTGAAGGAACTAAAGAACACTTTTAAGGTTTTGCTAGTAGTCATCTTCACAACATAACAACTTTTATAATAAACAAAAACAAATTACAAACCTGCATGCAAACACGAGTGATACTATACTACTCACTATTTTACAGATATGGTTACAGTTACAACAGACAGTTTTTTACAAATTTAGTTAAAGTTACAGTTTTTATATGAAATAATGCAATTAAATAAACAGAAAGTGTAAGTAAGAGTTCCAAAGTCCAGTTACAGTTAAACCATAATAAATACTTTGAAATATCATATTTACATTTTGAAATATTTATTCTAATTTTAATATCAAACTATTCAATAAAAATCAAATAGTGTTTTTAAAATACATTCTTTTGCAAAATAAAAAAAAAAAAAAAAAAAAAACATTAAATAGGACTTTTGTGATTGTGATGAAATTGGTATGCAAAAAAATCTTGATCGAACATTAAATGACATGTAAATTGTCAAGCTCAGGACAGGATTTCTATAGTATCCTTTGCAAGTATAAACAAGTAACAGAGAAAGAAAACTTATCTTTTACAAAGCTTATCTTTTTTTTTTTTTTGTAAAAGATAAGTTTTTTACAAATTTTATTCACAAGCTCTGCTTGTAATTCCACGAAGCAACTAAAACCATTGTATTATATCGTGTGTTTTTGCTGCGTTATGTCGGTTGTTCGGGTGTATCACCACTAATAGGATGTTTGCTGTTGAGGTTGTGTGTTGGGGGTGGTTTTGTTTTTGCATGGTTTGGGTGATGGGGATTACGTTGATGGTGAAGTGGTGGTGGGAAGAACCATGGTGGTACGTGTAAGGGGGTGATGATTGTGCCAGTTATAAGGGGTTTTGATTTGTTGGGATTTTTGGGGGTAGGAACATCTTACTTGTGGTAGTTCATCATTCACGACTTGTCTAGGCAGGTACACTCACATAGGCCTTTAAACATTGCCTTTAACCCACAACCTCAAAGCAAGTCATCTGAAGTGGTGTTTGCAAGCCCGTATTTGCGCCATCAACTGCCTCGTATAGTGTTCAGTGATGAACCCCACTTCATCTTGAGCAATGCCACTGTGTTCTGTCTGGGAAGACGGGCCAGCATTCCTATCGTCTTTGTTTTACAAATGCATACAGCCATACTCCTAGTTGATGTGGGGGTGCTAGGCTCATACCGCATCATCTTTGTTATCCTCCGTAATCTTACAGCTCATGTGTGTTGATAATATCATCGGCCGTTCATTCCCTTCATGCACATCATCCTGGGCCATTTTCCAACAAGATAATGCCAGGCTACATACCGCTCGCATATCTCTGGACTGTCTCCACGCGGTTGATACTCTTCCTTGGTGAAGGTTACTCGATTGGTGAAAGGTCTCCAGACCTTTCACCAATTGAGCATGTCTTTGACATGGTAGCCAGATTTGGACACTATGAAATATCGCAGATTTGGAGCGACAACTGATGAATACCTGGCAGAATGTGTTACAGGATGACATTAGGAACCTCTAACACTCCTTACCTCGACAAATTCAAGCATGCATTGCCGCCAGGGTGATTGTGAGTCGTGAATAGGTACTATGACCTTGATTTTGTAATAATTTTATTATCTGTGTATGAGATATATACATATTCAATTTCATCAAAAACAACCACTTCCTTCATGGTGCTTCGATTTTTTTGCAAAACAGTGAAGTTTGATCATGGTAGTATGCTAACAGCTTTGAATTAAAAGATAAAATTAATCGCAATTAACTAATATCATCAAATTTAATTGGGGGGACAAGATATTTTTTAGCTTTAATAATTTTTAAGTCAGAATACAGGAATTAAATTCAAATTAAATTAGAGAAAACAAATTAAGGATTACTAATTAAATCTCACCTGTGAAAGAAAACCACGTGAAACTTCATATGAGTAACCATTAAAATGATTGTACAAAGCAATTTCTTTGTTTAGAAACTCCCTAGAAAAATAAAATTTGATATAATATATAAAACTTTTCACTGCATAAAATGCTTTCAGTTTTCAAATAATTAGTAAACATTTCTATCTACTCTAAAATATCAAGCTTGCTAACTTCCATATTAATAAAATGCAAAAATAAACGTTTTCTTAAAAAATGGTTTTCATAACACATTATACAAGTTTTAAACATTATAAAAAAAATTCAAATTATATGTATTCAAAATGTCATCTAAAATATGATAAGGGACATACAACTTAATTTATAATACACAATTTACAGCTATTTGAATGCTTTGTTTTAACAGTATGAAATGTGTCACTATTAGAGTCATAATGTTAGTTTTAATTTTTAAAGGACTTTTATAAAATAGAAAACAATAGTTTGTACTCTATATTGAATCAGAAATCTTCATTCAATAATGCTTACAGAGTTATTTTAAAGAGCAAATTATATGAACTTCTTAATCTTTTTCTCCAATAAGCACACAAAGATAACTTTCTGACATAACATTTATTTTTCTTCACACAGTAACTTCATTTCAATGAAAAGTCAACTCATTTTCAATTTTATTTTTCACAATACCAAATTTCAAAATCATCAATCAGAAATTTTTACAGCTGAAAAGCCAAATAGCAAATTGTAAGTTTTAAACTGGAAAATAATAGTACAGACATGATGACCTACGAAATAACTGATCTGATAAGCTTAGGGCTGAAAAGAATAAATTTAAGGAATAATACACATACTTCTGCATAAATGAAAAAATAAATAAAGTTAATAAATATTCTATTATTTATTTACTTTAATTATGTGTATACCTACTCCTCTTTTAATATGGTTTACTTTAGTATATATATTTTTAAATCCTCATCTTCATGCATGATAAAACATTGTTTTTGTTGCAGAACTGGTCATTTATTTATCAAATATTTAATGACTTAATTTATTTTAAAAACATAAGATACTTACCTAAGTGGCCTATAAATGGGAACATCATGTCGGGAATCATAAAAACTCTGAAAAGTACAAGTTTAAAATTAGTCATCCTTAAAATATGTAAGTAAAAATATAAATACAGTATATTTCATTTACATGAAGCAGAATACATAATTTTCCTGGGCTTGGATCAATGGGTCTCGAGTTATTAACAATTATAATGTCATACCTGCCAACCTCTAAAGATAAAATTCAGAAGATTTCTCCAAAATTCAGAAGAACACGAAGAATTAATATCATGCTTTGATATTAAAAAAAAACAATTTATACAAAAGAAAAAGAATATTGTCTTACATTAGTCAATCTCAATTAAGTAGTAACTAAAAAAATTTTATAGGAAACATAAAACAAGAACTTAATGTTACACAAAAAAATTATTGCAATGAATTTAGAGTACATTTTTTGGCTTTAGCCAAAAATTCTTTGGAAAATTTTCCTGTCATAACAATTAATTTCCTCATAACATTTAGCAATTAAAATGTTTTCTAGAGTTTTTGGTGAAATTGACGAACGAAACATAGTTTTTTTTTTCTTCCAACACTGAAGACTCTCTCGCACTCAGCATTACTGTGTGGACTTACGAGAATAGCACTAAAACTCTGCCAGTCTATCATATTTTTGGTGTTCCATCCTTTTTTTCTTTTTATTCTTTTTAAGGTACCAATGAGGACATCAAGTCTATCTTCTCCAGAACTGTCTCAAACTCAAAGTCTTCAAACTATGCAGCAGAAAATTGGTTCGGTAGTTCATCTAAAGCATCATTATGGCATTCATTTTCTTTAATTGTTAAACAAAAATGGAAATTTTACAATAAAAAACGAATCTTTTTAAAAGATGAATTTTCAATTTGTTTCAAATTTTGCCACTTCAGCATTTTAAAAGAACTTCATTTTGCAAAGGAAACTTCCTTACAATGTAATCAACAGGCTGAGGAAAAAAGTACTTTCTAACATATTGAAAAAATTCTTTTTTCTCATGATCTTCAAAGAATTTAACAAGCTTCCCTGGTTTGATTTCCAATTATAAGATCATTGTCCATCCGTTTGATTTGCCAAACTATTATAGGCAATATAAAACAACACATGTTTTTCACAACGGACGGCTTTACAAACTTAGTATAAAAGTTCTTTCAAAAGATCATTAAGAATTTGGATACAGCAGGGCAGATTTTGGCGAAGCTGATTGTAGAAGGGTATTTAAACTTTCAAAAATCTTAATGGTACTTAACACAAATCTACAATATGCTTTGTTCAAATCCGAAGAAAGAACATAGAAAATCCTTTCCTCTCGGCTAATAGAAGACTGTTTCTTCTTACCTTCAACTTCTTTAACGAAGTTGACATTTGAGGAGTCTTCTAAGCATTTTCTTTTTAAAGGGTTTGATTCTGCGTTTTTGGCTTTCCCTTTTAAAGCATTTTGATTAGAAGCAAGTTGGTTTTCGGAATCTTATATGCCGACAAATTTGATGGGATCTGTGGTTTCGTTTTGGTCTCTTCGTGGAAATATTTTAGCAATGCATCCCACTGTTCAATAAACCTTTCTAGCACTGTGCCTAAGGATAACCATCTCGTGCATATATGTTTCAGAATTTTTCTCGTTTCACCAGAGCACAGTTCTTGGAAATTCTTTAGGTTTTCTTTCCTTTTTACACTTTTTTCCAGATAGAAAAACGCATCAATCGGAAGCTGGTCAATATTTAATGGTAAAGCAGCTGCAGCATTTTCTGCTGCCAAATTAATTAAGTGGCATGGGCATCCAATAACAATTAATTCATTTTGTTCTTTTTTGAGGAAAGAGGCTACACCCTTTTTGTCACCCACCATGACATGAGCATTATCTGCACCAAATGAAATGCAGTTTGATATTGAGATGTTAAGTTGTTTCAACTCATTAATTACCAAGGAGGCAATATTTTCCCCCGTAGCGTCTCCATTTAACAATGGAGGACACCAAAGATGAGTTTTCATTTCATTAGAAACATCACAGAAATATGTGACAACGATGGGGTAAAGCTTCCAATCGCTGTCGTTGCTGCCATCGATTGACACCGAAAATGCTGAATTCTGGAGTGCAGCTATCGTTTTACTTTGTGCATCGCAAGCAATTTCGTTTACAATAGATGATGTTTTCGTGCGAGCACAAGCATATTTCTGAGCAATCTTGGAGTCGGGAAACATCCGTCTGAAAAGTTGACCGGCGTGATCGGCAGCGCTTAGCGGCACGTTGTGTTCGATGAGGAATGCAGTAAACAAACACTCTGCCAAAATGACATCGGCATCCGAATTCGTAGCCGAATTTGAAAAAAAATCATCTACTTTCTTTGATGCTGTCGAAGCCGAAGCATTAACTTCATGCTTTTTAGACTTAACATGCTTCACAACGTCGCTTGCTGCTGAAGCGAACGCGAAAAAAATAATCTGGCGCCCACAAAGAAAAGAGTGGGAGAAACAAGTTCAGCGCACTGGATTGGCTGGTTAAGCGGCGAGTTGAGAGAAACCGCAGGTTACTGGATTCGAAGTATCGGTAGTTGGCGGTAAAACACGATGCAATTGGCGAAAAATTCTAAAATTTCGACAAAAATCACTAAAAACACTTGAAAAAGGAAAAAAATCGTAAAAAATGGATTATGATCGTAAAATCGTAAAGACAAACGCATTTTCGTAAAAATTACGAAAAATTCGTAAAAGTTGGCAGGTATGTAATGTTAAAGTGTATCCTCTTCAAAGTAAGGGCTTTTAACAATGATACACCTGTGGCAGAATTTGCAGAGGATGAAGATTAAAACCCTCACACTGCAGTTTAAACTAGCAGTCGAACTGCTAACAGCTATACAGTGCAAGGGGATGATAAAACAAATGTAATTAGTTTGATTATTTTTCTCTGTACTTAGATTAAAGTGCATTTTTATTTTGCCTTCTAATCCACTTAAAAACATTTTGACCAAATGAGTATCACCCGTTTAAACTTTTCTTCCTGATGGGAACATACCTTAACAAGGAGCATTTTCTTCATCAGCTGCTCAAGTTTTCCCATGCATTTTGCTATTTCCAGAGAAACTAATGCATTCATTCACTACCTAATCAACATCAGTCTCATTAATTGATTAAAACATCTCATTAATAACACAATAGAGAGTCTAAAATCTGAACCTTTGTACCGCCAGCCAAAAATAAAATAAAATAATAATAAGTTTTCCCTTTCCCTATAAAACCTAGAAATGAAGATTATAATACTCAACAAAAGGCAAATATGTGCTGAAAATACAATTTTTTTCCCATCTAAGTGAGATTCCTACATTTCACTTTCGAACACTCGTTGGTTAGTCACGCAATAGCCAATAACAATAATGTGTTCATAAATAATGTACCGATCAGCACTGTGTTTGATGTTGGCTAGCATCCCACTTTCGGCCCCTTAAGTAGATGTGTGTGTGTATGTGGGTGTGCTATACATTTTGCTGCTCTGCGTAGTCTGAGTGGATCCTAAATGCTGCTGTAAGAAACACCCCTAAATTCTAACAGTGCCTCTCCTAAATTCTAAAAAATTTACCATCCCTGAATTTTGTGGCCCAATGTTCCTCTAAATTCTAAAATTTTTGTTCCCCCAAATTCTGTTACCTGGTGCGGTTATACTGGCTCTGGTGCTATGGAATGGTTAACATTAACTGGATAGAAGAATGGTTTTAAATAATATGCTGAGCCCCAATGCTGCCATGTCTACATTTATCTCATTAGATTTTAGATTTAAACTGCTGATCTAAAATCAGGAATCACTGTTAGTCACAACAATTCCAGATCTCAGATTTTGGACTGTACTAATTCCTTTTAAAATTGTTGTTTGGTTGTACACTGGAGTTTATTTTACTTGGAACTCATAGTACTCTGGCTAGAATTGGAATTTTACACAAAAACTGAGAAGTATCAATGGGTGAATTCAAATCTTGATCAAAGTGAAATTTTTCGTGTCTTAAAACAGATATTAACATACTGAAAACGTTAAATTCTTCACTTACAACTGAATGTGGCAATAGAAAACCTTCTTTTAACATCATAAACTATTAATTAGCTAATTTTCTTGCATCATGTACTCGTAATTTGAATATGTCTCAAGTTTTTACCTTTACATTTACTGCACATGCTTGGGTAAGGTTTACTATGTTCAGTAATGTTTTTCAGAGGAAGATAAAAATCTAAATATCTATCAAATCAAGCCCTTTAAAAGATTCACTGTTTCATTTCCAGTCAAACTTCAAATTTTTAAAATGATACTTCACTTAATATCACAGATTTAATACAGTAATGGGTAAACTTCTTTGGGTGTAGGCCAAAAAACAAAAGAAAGAATTAAACGGGCCAACATAATTTATTCTAACACTTTAAAAATCATTAACAAATATTACAATACAAATATTAATCTGGAGAATAAAGCTGCAATCCCATTTTCAAAAGTCCTTAGATTCAAGTTTAAGCTGTAAATGTACTAGTTCTGAGAAGTAATGCTAAATGCTAATCTATCAGTCTATTTCTAACAGAATTCTTCTTAAAGTTCATAGCAGAAAGCACTTTTCACATATAGAAGATGAAGCAAACATAGCATCAATTTTCTGAATGTGAGATATTAAATTTGGGAAGCTTACTTCAGATACAGATTTATAAAACTGTAATTTTGGAACAGTGAGAAACAACTGTTGAGGTGATTATTAGATTTAAATTCAATTCATTCAAGCTGTGCATCCAACCTTACTCTTTCACAGTTTGTGTGGAAAGAGCATAGTAAAAATATTCAGTTCTGTTTGAATGGCATTGAAATCTTCAAATGTGCATTCAAATTCAAAATGCAGGTTTCTATGTCATCTTCATAACTCTTAAGTTTATTTTCATTTGCTGAGAATACTGAATTTAATCTGGAGAAATGAGACAAGTCATTCTTAGCTAGCCACCTAGCAAAAAGATCCAAGTTTTAGTTGAAAATCTTTGAAATGAGTAGGCACAGATATTTTTCCTTGCCTCTTGACATTTAA